TGGTTGTGAGACTTAATAATAGTACTAATATTTGGCATGCAGCTATAGCTTATTTTGACGGTGTTTCTGTTAAAAAACTTGTGTAGCCTGTGGTGTGCTGGGAAATGTAAGTCGATTAAGTTTAAGAAAAGGTTTCCTAATTTGGTGACAACATTTTTACTAAAAGGGGGATTAAACCATATGATGATTCGTTTGCGTTTATTAGTATGATGATTAGTTTTTTATAAATTTAAAATAGGACGATATTGGATATTGCTGCTATGTCCAGACTTTATAAGGGCTTCTTTGTAAATAGAAGAAAAGTTTTCAAAAATTATTTTGCTGGAGGAGTTTGATGATAATCTTTGTTCAATAGAGGTCGGCAGCTGTTTTAAAATACTTGGTGGGTGGTTAGAGCTGGCATGGATATAGTTTAACAAACTTTCAGGTTTATGGTAAGTTTATGAAGCTGCAGTCGTTAAGATTTAATGTAATATCAAGATAATTCACAATTTTTATGTTGCATTGAGTAGAAATATTAAGGCTGTTACTTTTAAATATCTGAGTTATATGTTTTATAACTTCTTCCATTTGTGGACCGCTGGCGTTTTTAATTACGGCCAACCCATCATCTCTATACAGCCCAAAATCAAACTTGTTATAAAATTGAGAAATTTGGAAAAGAAGGAAAATTCCAACCAACTCACATACCTCGGCACCGTCAAACGCTCCCATGGTGACGTCAAATAAATCACCTGATTTTTTTATCCAAACTTCATTATTGTTAAATAACAAGAATTTCCATGCGTGTTGAATCGAAGATTTGTGCTCGTTTGTAATGGTAACATACTGTTCAGCAAAGCAAATAGAGTCAATAAGAAGTTTCTTGGTAAAAGAAGGATAAAAGTCAACAATATCAAAAATGAGGAATTTATAAAAATGTTTGTCATTGATGTTCATGAACCATTTAATTACCTCCTGTGTGTTACTCCACTGGTTAATACATAAAATATTTTTTAGCTGGTTGGTTATTTCGGATATTTCGGATATTTTTATTTTCGGATATTTCGGTATAAAAATAACACTAAACTTTCTAAAGAGATCTGGAAAAGGAAGCAGGCATTAAACCAATAATCAAGTGGAGTATTGTTAAAAAATGTCAACCCTATAACCCATCCGCAAAAAAACGTAATCTTTGCTTAAATGAGAAATATTTTATTTCAACATACAATAAAGAACCTTTGTTAAATAAAAAAAGTGAATTGGTTTCAGCATGTAGGCACAGAAAAAAGTTTTTGCTATCGACTTTCGACACCGGTTAAATAAATTCCCGTTTGGCGTTAAAACTGACTTTTGATCTCGTTGCAACGCAATTTTGTATTTTTATTACGGTTTTTATTTTAATGATTTTTAAATATATGGCTGAATGATTGCCGAATGGCATGAAACTTGAAGTCCCATAAAAAAGTCGTATTTTTTCATTTAAATATTTAATATATTTTGATCTATTTTATAAATATCGATCATTCTGAAACCGACAAAGAGCTGTATTAAATCCAACAGCATACAACACAACTCAATAAGAATAATATATATATATATATATATATATATATATATATATATATATATATATATATATATATATATATATATATATATATATATATATATATATATATATATATATATATATATGTATGTATATATATATATATATATATGTTGCATATATATATATATATATATATATATATATATGCAACATATATATATATATATATATATATATATATATATATATATATATATATATATGTATATATATATATATATATATATATATATATATGTGTTGCATATATATATATATATATATATATATATATATATATATATATATATAATATATATATATATATAAATATATATATATATATATATATATATATATTATATATATATATATATATATATATATATGTGTGTTGCATATATATATATATATATATATATATATATATATATATATATATATATATATATATATATATATATATATATATATATATATAAATATATATATATATATATATATATATATATATATATATATATATATATATATATATATATATATATATATATATATAATATATATATATATATATATATTATATATATATATATATATATATATATATATATATATATATATATATATATATATATATATATATATATATATATATATATATGTTGCAACACTTACGCATGTTTAAAAATGTTTTTAATAAAACAAAAATAAAAACACTACTAATTAAAAAAATTTTTTTAGTCATTATTAATAAGGTTTTTAAAAAAAAAAAAAAATTTAATGTACTTCCGCATTAATTAAATTGCTTTGACATTTCGATGACAAACAAATGTAGCTTATGAGACAAGGTAATAAAAATTGTAGTCGAAAGAGACTTTTCTTAACATCTTTCGACTCTTTTGACTACACTATAAGGATATATAT